TGACGGATTGCTTTGCCAGGGAGGGTCTGGAAAAAAGCGCATGGCGCGAAGCGCCAATGCAGTCTTGTGTACATCGGGGATGGACAGACCTAAAACGTGGTTTAGTGAAAACGACCTTAGGCCCGAACCTGGCGGGCGCAAGCCCGGAAAATACCGGCCGCGGCGACGTCTCGAGAACCGACAACGGACAATTCACGAATCGGCGTGTCGCTGTTGGGGGTTCTGTCCACCCCCGAATATATATATATATATATATATATATATATATGTGTGTGTGTGTGTGTGTGTCTGTGTACATGGATGGGATGAATCTGTTCCGTACAGTGAATGCACTCTCTCTGCTAGGGCTCCCAACTTCGCGCTTCGCGCTGCGCGAAGCGCGAATAACTTCGCGCTCTCGCGCCGCCCTCCCAAAGGGAGAATAGGAGGACGAGGAGGAGGGGGAGAAGGAACGAGGACCGCGAAGCGCGAAGCGCGAATAACTTCGCGCCCTCGAGGGAGCCCATGCCAAAGACGACTCGGACGGGCCCAGCAAGGCCTCGCCGCGTGGACGCCCGACGGGCCCCCCCGTGCGGGTCCGGCAAGGGGTTCGCCACGCTGCCGCCCGTGGCCGCCTCGAGGGCGCCCTCCCCGCGCCGGAGGGGTCTGGCGAGGTGTCGCCGCGCGGCAGCGCGTGGGCGCCTCGTGGGCGCACCGTGCGTACACAGCATAGCTCACATCACAGGGTAGTTTTTCATACATCGGATTTCATTTTGTTTTCCAAAAAACATAGGATTGCTTCATACATGATTAATGTATGAACGAATTGAGGCACGAAATCACCGTTGTTTTTAATACTGACTCCCTGCATGTTTTATACATGATCCGCACGCGGAGCATGTATAAAAAACGGCACTGGACGTGCGTTGCGCCACGTAGCTTACAGCTCGTAGCCCTTACCAAGGAGTGCTCCGCAGAGCTGATCCCGCACAGCTATCATAGCATAGCTTGCACACCGTAGCTGGATTGCACCGCGTAGCTTCCACTACATAGCTCACACCACGTATATTGCACTGCGTAGGTTGCACCACTTAGACTGCGCCTTCTAGCTTACACCACACAGTTCACGCCACATAGGTTGCACCACAATACTTCTACCATGTAGTTGACACCACACAGCTCATACCACATGTATATATATATATACATAGATTGCACCACAGAGGTTACACCGCATAGCCCACACCACATTAGATCGCATGCAACTCAAATCACATGGCTCACACTACATGCATCACACTACATAGTTCGCATATCCATAACTGATGCAACATCTCAGTGTTCGGGGTCCGCGCTGGCAGCCACCGATGATTATATACAAAAATATGGATGCATCAACGGTGAACCCCAATGAGCTTTTTCGTGCAATCTACGCAGTCCAATCTAAGTGATGCAGTGAATGGGGTTGAATCTCGGTGGTACAATCCACGCCGCGCAATCAAAGAAGCGCCAAGCAATGCGAAACAATGAAAAGCAACGCAAGTCTATTCGAAGCAGAGCAAAGCAATACAAGCCAGTGCAATGCACAGCAATGTGAATCAATGCCCAGCTACGCAAGCACATTGCAAGACAATGCAACGCAACGCAAAACACTGCAAGCTGATACAAATATGTGCAACACAATGCAACACACATGAGGCGACGGGCGGCGACGAACCTGCCGCAACGCCCCACTGGGGTCCAGCGGTGACGGCGGCGACGGGCGGCGACGAGCTGGTCGAACCGCAATTGGGGCCCAACAACGACGGCGGCGACGGGCTGCGACGAGCCGGCCAGACCGCCACTGGGGCTGCGTTGCCCTAGAGGGCATGTCAGAATCCCCAAGTGCAAGCACTGTTTGCGGGAGCATGACCATGCCATAGCTATGAACCTCGGAGCTCCACCGCGCCAAGGGACATGACTGCGCGAAGCGCCCTGAATCAAACATTTTACTGCGGGTGCTGCTTCACCCAGTGATCAAGAGAACGAGCGAGCGGGCCAGCTGGCGGCCAGAGCTGCACTGGTGCATTGCAATTTTTGCTTCAGATAGATTCCGCCGCCTTCCGCAGCTGGAAGCACCCCCGTTCGTCGGACAAGGACAGTCTTAGGATCAGATTGGCACAGGAGACGGTCCAAAACTTCCAGAATATTTAGCGGCCCTCGGTTCTGAAACCCGTGTGGAACAACAAGAAAGCTAGGAAGCCCTGCAAGTCTCGGGACGCATCGTCATCATGACCGCTTGCGCCTCTGAATCCTGCTTCCGCCAACCTCCGACAACCTTCCGCAGGGAGGAGGAGGAGGAGGAGGAGGAGGAGGAGGAGAAAGGACATCAACTTTCTTGACCCCTCCATGGCGAGGCCCCGCGTGGATGCGGGCTCCACGCGGCTCCCCAAGCCTGGTCGGCACGCGGGGAACCCGAGCACGCACGCAGCTGCGCAGCTGTGTAGATGTCATACGGGTGCTCTGCAACAGCAGACGACATGCCCGACGAGGATAGTGAGTGACTACCTACCAGACCACCCAAACCCAACCCGAAGACCCGAATTTCAGGTTGGGGGGGGTAAGGGTTCCACGTGTGTTTTTTCGATGTTTCCCGACACCCCCCCCACTGGAAATCGAGGGCAAATCTGAGCCTTCGAGTTGGGTTGGGGTGGTTTGGTGGGTGGTGAGTGAGAAGAGCAACAGGGGCTTCACCTCTCACCTCGAGTGCCGAGGAGAGGCACTTGGCGCTGAGGCGGAACCCCCGGGCCACGCTCGCCCCGTTCGCGCGCGCGCGCGCCCGGGCCCACCGTTTCGCACCAGGCCTTTCGACTTCACGCAAGAGGGACCTTGGGTAAGAGTGACATTTAACGCGCGGCTTTTTGGGGGCCGCGGGGGGACCAACACACAAGCGCGCACGACGCTACTGCCGCATCGCGCTCGGCGATCGGGGGACCCCATTGGGCCCGCACCAAAGGTCCCCCAGGCGAAAGGTCACTCTTACGTATAGTCGAGCCTGGCCCACCGCACTCCGCCGATGCGGCTCGCCGCTTCTCACCCCGCTCCGCTCGCGGCGTGCTCGAGGCGGGTGCGCCCGAAGGCCGCGGCAGCTGCGCCCTGCCCCCTTGGCATGCCCGCCGCGGCGGGGGACGCGCCGCCGAAGACCTGGGCCTCCCTGGCGGCGCTTCAATCGCCACCCCCCCACCCCGGGTTATGCTGTTCTCCTAGTACTTGGGGGACCGCATCCCAGAAATCATTTCGAGCACCCGGAAAAGTGTCAAAAGCGTGTCGACACAGTGTCGGGCGAGTGTCTCCCAGGGCTCGACACGTGAAAACCATTGAGTTTCGGTACTTTTTTCGGCGCTCGAAATTCTGCCTGGTGCTCAAGGCTAAAGTAGGTCAGAGCATCATAACCCGGGTCGTTTCCAACTGGCCACGGGGCTCTGGGGGGGGAGGCCCTGCGAGCCAGATAGCAGGAGAAACAGCAGGACCCGCTCCATGAAGACCCACCTCTTCCGTGGCGCCTTCTGCTGCTCGGCCTCGACGGCTGCCCCCACTCCGCGCACATCCGGCCCAGACCATCGAGACAAGACTGCGCTGCCATTCCCGGGGGGGGTCCCGAGGGCGGCTCCGCCAGTCCATATGTGAAGGGGCCCAGGGATACTTTTTGGTCTGCGGGTCGGGTGCTGGCCCCTTCCGGTAAAGAGCTAAAGAAAAAGGGGGCCCAGGGACACAGACGCACACACATAAATACACACAAATCCGAGGATTGCCTATATTTGTAAACATATATCTTGATATATATATATATATATATATATATATATATATAGATTGGGTTTCCGCCTTCCCCCCCACTCCCCATATTTGCCGAAATTGTCTTGAGCATCGACGGTTCCTTGTGTCTGTGTCTTTCGCTTCCTCCTGGCAGACGTGCGAGGCCGCCTCCGGGCCCGCGGGGGGCTCCGAAGAACAACCGGCGATCGGCCCAGACTCCAGCTCTGCAGGGCCCTGCAGGACCTGGCTGGCTGCGCCCCGCTCGTGCTGGAAGAAGAAGAAGGAGGAGAAAAACAATGCCATGAAGACCCAGAATAACAAGAAGACGAAGGATAATAAACAGAAGAAGGAGGAGGAGAAGGAAGGAGGAAGGAAAAGGGGAAGGAGGAGGAGGAAGGAGGGGGAAGAGGAGGAGGGGGAGGGGGAGGGGGAGGAGGAGGAGGAGGAGGAGGAGGAGGAGGAGGAGGAGGAGGAGGAGGAGGAGGAGGAGCTGGAAGGACGAAGAGAAAGAGGGGGATCAAGAGGAGGAGGAGGAGGAGGAGGAGGAGGAGGAGGAGGAGGAGGAGGAGGAGGAGGAGGAGGAGGAGGAGAGAGGGACCCCATGACTTGCCGACTGACCCCTCAGCGCCCCTCTAACGGTGACTCCACTGACGGGTGCTCTGGCCAGTGACCCGGCGAGCCCAACCCTCTCCGATGAGGGCAGCGCTGCAGTGCCAGAAAGAGGCCCCCAAAAGGGCAACTTTCGACACATGTCCCAAGTGCCCGCTATTGGGTACCCGTCACGGTGCCGCCGAACCCCCGTTAGGGAAACGAGCTCTATACACCGACGCTTTTCCCGACCCTGCGCTGAAATTCCCACAAGAACGCGAATTTTGGTGTATACGGAATCCTGGTTTATACTCGGAGATCTTCTGACCCGGGTCAATCCAGACCCGGGTCAGCAGGAAAACAAAAACTGAAATGCAAGAGAAAAAAAAAACGCAACGCGGATCTTCGCAAACCCAGGTCAGCCAATATGCGCGGCCGCCTCGCGGCCACGAGCGGCTCGCTAACCCAGGACAGCCAGAGGGGGTCTTCGCAGGATCCTGCAGGATCTGGTGCCCTGGCTGACCCCCGTTTGCATTGACCCCCGTCTCAAGGCTCCCGATAAACATTTGTCGCTGTTTTCCCGGGACACCGGGGACAAAAAAGTATACACCACACCACCCCAGCGTCGTCCCCGACCCTCAAAAAAGTCCTGGGATTCAAGGAACAGCCCGCCACTGGTAAAATATACAGTGAAAACGTATCGTAAGGACGCGTGGTAAGGACGCAAGACCCTTGGAGGCCGAAGTTGAAGTATTCTGGGCGGCAGGCGGCCAAACCCCCAGGGAACCTGAGAAACTGGCCTGCGCGAATTGCCAGGGACGGGCCGCAGAGGCTGAGGCAGGCAAGGACCCACCCTTGAAAAAGTCGCTTGTCCTTACTATGCGCGTTGACTGTACGATCCAGTTCCCGACCCGTCCTCAGCCCGCCGGCCGGAGACGCCCGCGGGGGGGCGGGGCCGCCCACCGCAAGCCAGCAGCAGTCCTGCGCGCGCGCGGCTCCGGGGTTGTCGCCGTCGCCGTCTTCGCCGCCGTCGCCAGCCGCCGCCGCCGTCGCGCGCCCTGGCGCAGGACGGGGGAGGGGCGCAAAGGGGAGGGCAAGGGGAGGGAGGAGAAGAGGGGGAGGGGGATGACAAGGACAGACATGGAATCTAGGAGGGAGGACTGTCCGATGATTCTGCTCGTTTGGTGCAAGGCCCCTCGAAGCCGTCACCGCCGCAACGCAAACCCACCACCACCCCGAATGGCGGGAGGAGGAAGAGCAGAGGAGACGGAGGACAGGGGCGGGGGAAGGAGGGCGGAAAGGGGAACGAGGAGGCGACGACGGCGCAGCGAGGAGGCGGGGAAAAGGGCCTCGGGGCCACTGCGCGTGAGGAGGAGGAGGAGGAGGAGGAGGCCGTAGCCATTTTGGCTCAAGGGGCCTTCTCCTGAACTTCCAACCTCGCTCGAGCAGTTGAGGCGTGTGAAAAAAAGAGATACCTTGAGACTCTCTGGCCAGGGGCTCGCGACCCCAGCCCAATTCCTCCACGATTACTCTCCCCCCGCGGCAGCGATGGGGAAACAGCAGCAGCAGAAAGGTTACCAGCTTTGCCCGCATGCTTCTTGTGGCTATCGCTGGAATTGGAAGAAGCATTCGCAGTGTTGGCAGTGTGGGAAAGCTATCGGGCCCGCAGCCAATGATTGGCCCAAACCAGCCTCGGGAGCCTGGGCCTACGGCCCACCTCGCGCCCGCACGCCAGGCGGGAGCCCCTTCACCATGGCGGGCAACATGGCTGCCGCTGGTGCGCCACCAGGCGTCTGGCAGACAGGAGGTGCCACGCTTCCAGCCACTTCGCCGTTCGCGCCCACCACGGAGCAGCTGCTGGAGGCACTCAAGCAGCGACATCCAGAAGCAGGAGCCGAACTTCAAGCTTTTGAAGCCAAGGCAGCTCCCCCAGTGCAGCAGGTGGACAAACCCAAGTTACGGCCAGAACTCCAGCGAGAGCAAGAACTCAATCAAGCTGGGGTTCAAGCACGCAAGACAGCGGAAGCTCTTGATCGTGCAATCCGGTATGAAGCAGAATGCCGTGAATACCTTGCCAAAGCTGAAGCGGACACACGTGACAAAGCCAGAGTTGCAACAGAGGCGGCAGCTCGACACCAAGCTCTTCTTCAGGCAAATGTCGACCCCAAGGTGCTGCAGCAGACCTCCCCCATCAACCTGTCCAAGTTGCTCAGCGCCACGGAGGAGACCGAGTTCCTGGACATTCTCAAGTTCGAGGACGGCACCAGCTTTGACACGTCGGAGTTGGAATTATCGCCAGAAGAATTGCAGCAATGGAAAGAACATAAAGAATCATTGGCAAAAGAAGTATCCAAACTTATTTGCGCCGCGGTGGGACCCTCGGCTAAGACGCTCTTGGAAAGAAAGCAACAGTTTGAAGAATACAAGTCAAGGATGGCACACAAAAGGCGACGTACCAATGAAGGTGGAGCACGAGCTGGTGGCAGAGGTGATGCTGAATCACAAGAAGCTGGAGGTACTGCAGCAGCGGAACCCAGGGGTGAGGCGACTTCTTCGGGTCCGAGTGCAGCAACACCTTCGGAGACGCAAGATGCTACCAATCCATCAGCCACGGCACCGTCTCAGCCACATGTCTCTGATGAACAAATCCAGGCCACCCTCGACGCGGCAAAGCAGAAGTTCGCGCAGTCTCGGGCATCCCCAACGAGTCTTTAGCCAAGGACGTGTACCACATGCTCGGCAACGCGGCGCCGGGCAGAAGTTCCTTTTCTACTTCGCCAACTACACCAAGTGGAATGAGCGTGCCATGGCCTATTTAGCGGCAGAGCATATGCAAGATGTTTTGCTCCACATGGGTGCCGAAACTCATCTGAGAGGAGGAGCGCTGTTGCAGGCGCAGAAGAAACTCAAGCGAGCGGGGTGGTTGTCCACCTCGGCCCCAGCTGTTCCCACGGCCAAAGAAGGGACGCTTGGGCACGGCGGGGTCTGGGTCCTCTCGAGGACCACCATCCACTCCCAGGTCCTTTACCCCTGTAAGATCGGCCCTGATGGTAAAGAACAGTTTTTCGGCACGCAGTGGGTAGGCAGGACAGTCAGGTTTAAAGGACTGGATGTGACCTTTGTTTCAGCTTATTTGAA